GAAATGATATATAAATAGTATTATTGTATGAGTTTCCTGGTTGACTATAGAGTTAATAGTTATATTAGTAGTCATTATGAATACTAGTTTGATTCAATCAACATAAGGATACCTTCCTTTAAGTGAACTTTATACTTTACTGTAATAGTAGACAGGATTATTGTCAAATTGATAAAATGGCCAAAACAACACCCATGGATACGTTCAAACTTTTAAAAGATTCGTGGAATAAGAAAGGTAATTTCCATAATTTGAGAATAATTGGTTAGTTTATTGTCATGTAAAAAGACTATTCATGATTTATAAATGGAGGGTGAATGTTTAATATATTAGTAAAATGAGACTTATAATGATCATATTATGTCGTCTGGTGTGATCTAATCTGTCTAACTTTGTTCCTTTCCTATGAATGTTCTTATTTTAATTTCAATGGATTATGAGATAATATAGAGTCAAGATTTTGAATAAACATAATATATTACTGGAGTTGAAATTACAGGAAGCAAGTTAATTGGATTTGTTGTGTATTGTTTAAGAGCTAAATTTGTCTTTTAAAGTTTAGTTTCACTAGGAATTACGTCTTTTAACATCATTACACATTACAGAGGGGTTTCCTGATGTTTTGTTGTTGTTTTTTCTATTTGATGATTAATGCCATATCATTAGGTTATAGAGGACCGGCAAAACTTTACTCAGGGTCGGTCCAGCCACTGGACATTGTTGAAGAATACAAGGTCCAACACTTATACTTATTACAGTTGATCTTATTTCAGAGCAGGCTTGTGTTGTTGACATTGCCAGGAAAAATTACTTCAACTAGTTGTTTATAGGATATATAAAAAAAATATTCTCATAAATTTTGGTTAACTTTATCTGAAAAGCTGTTGACACCATCTTTAGTCATCATCTATGAAGCTTGGAAATACCATTATTAATCATAGATTTGTAGAACCCTATCTCTATAATACTAGGGGAAACAAAACTTAACAACTTAACTTTTAGATTTGAAAAATGACTAAAGCTTATTTATCCAATGTTTTAGCATCATTTTAGTCAGGATTGTCCAGCACCTTGTTATTATAAAATGATACGTCAGGGTAAATTTACAGCAAACATGATAAATAATTCATCATATAGTCCATTCTTCTTTAAATCTGACAGTTTAAAACTTGTTTTGATTATGAGCAGTGGATTAGATTGCTTGTATAAATAACCACAGGCCATATATCATATCACCATCATTTATTCTGAAGCACAAATTCTATTCATTTTCTCTAGATTGATTTGATGCCTTGATTGATTTGATGCCTTGATTGATTTGATGCCTTGATGATTATAATCATTCTAATGAGGTTGATACTGCTATCATGAACAAAGTTCAACCATGGTAAAGCTATAACGAACTCTGTCTAATACCTTGACTGTAATAGCTACCTTTCTTGTATCACTGAGCATTGTAAATGCTTTTAAAATCTATTTGTAATCCACCATCATCATTATTCACTTCGAACAGACTGTAGTATTGCTGATAATGATGTCAAAAAGCTGATCAAAATGACAAAAACATGATGCAAAAGAATAATGTTTGTTTATCTTACGATAAATGAGAAAATATGTAAAAAAAAATTTAGAAGTCAGTGAAATAAAACAATGATATTGAAATACGAAATCTGTATATTGAAAAAATAATTATATGTTACTGAGAGAAAAGGAATTATAGTCCTATTAGTTGTGAGACAAAGTATAAAATTTCTATGTTATTTTCACATCAGATATATAAAGAGTTAATTTGAAGAGAAATTGTTAAGTTACAACGTGAAATTTGCAATAACTAGTTTTATTCTGCTGCTGATTATTTTTTACTGTGGAAGAGTCTAGTGATTTACTGATATGTTATATTTCACCATGAATGGTTTATAGTTTAGATTTTAATACGACTATATTAAAGGGGAACAGTTGATATTTTCAGGTTGATTTGGGTCTTTAATATGTAAATAGTCTTCAGAAGTACTAGAACTGGACAAAAATCACATAATTCCTACAAATATACCTCAAACTAGAAATTTCACTTTCTCTTTCTGTTTATATTTTTTCTATATAAGTTATCATTTCTACTATCAAACAAGGATAATTCTGGACACACATGGATTTGAAGGCTAAGATTTCGACAGTGAGCTGTGAACACTATTACTGATTAGCTCAGCTAAAAAACTCATTTCTGAGCCTAAAGTATGATTGGTCAAACAGATGGTGAACATGTCCCTTTAAAACGGTATAGAAGAAGAATATTGGATCTGATCTGAAGATAACAATAAAGTACAACCTAAAACAAGTAGTCAAGATTTTATAGTTGAAATAGAGACAACTATCTTATTACTACAACTCTGTTCAACTGTTATTACCCGCCTTGACTATTATAACCCGCCTTGACTAGTATTACCCGCCTTGACTAGTATTACCCGCCTTGACTAGTATTACCCGCCTTGACTGTTATTATTTTCACTGATATAGAAAGTTCCAATGCTACATTAAGTATATAAATGAGAAAATAAATGATATTTTGTATACAATACAGTGTAAATTATAATGGTTGGCTAGAACAGAACTTGATTAATAAAAACAGAATAAGAGGAAAATGTTTCATAAAACTTAGTTAATGGTATGTTCTTTTCTTTATTCTACCCTCATAAACTTCTCTTTCTATCTAAATTATTCTGTCTGAGGTACGCAAGAGTTCAAAGGGCAGTAATTTATCAGTCATTTGTATTGATTGAGAAGGTTGTCTGAAGTAGCGATAAATTGCTTCTCATGTTAATCAGAGGTTAGAAGATGTTCTCCTATTGTGGGTGGTTATTTATTAATTTATATGTGTTAGGTTAAACTGGTTGTATGAAGACCACACTTTAAGGAAGATAGTCTAGATATTTAAAGAAGATACAACATAATACAATAATCATAGAAATTATCTATGAAAATTTTTGTATAAAAACACAACTGTCCGAAGCTGTGTGAAATAATGTTTTATTTTTTATTTGAAGGACATATTTCCTTAAATGTGATTTCATAGTTGGAAAAATTTAGTCACCATGAAAAAAGATACAAAAACATTTCCAATTGTAGGAAAATTATGATTTGATATAGAAAAATACCTATTCATGCTGATAAATAACTAGTTTTGGTCATATTTGGTACAATGCTGATGGCAACAGAACCATACTTGTTCTAGCTTACTTTCCTTGCGTTAAATCCATCAGCAAAACATTGATTCACTAATTTCATGAAAACACATTTGTTTGATTGCAGATAATTTTACTTTTAATTCAACTATTTTTAGAAAATTATTCGAATAAAAGAAAAAAGTGCCCTACTTTGATATGGCAATAGTTTTTAATTTTAGTGCCAATTTCATGTCAACTTTTCATGTAGGGATGAAAAACTGTATTTAGACAATATATTATATATATATAGAGAGACTAGATGATAATTCTCTAATTACCAGCTGATCTTCAGTACTTATTGTTAAATGTTAGGAATCAATTGAAGAGTTGTCAGACAATCTGGTAATCTTTTCAATTAATAGATAAACTCTACTGTCTATTGAAATAAGTATTAGCTGTCTATTAGGTTTAAAGAGAGCTTATAAAACAAGCTTTAGTTCAGATTGGAACTTTTTAGATTTTGCTAACAAGAAGTTCTATATATAACATTCAGGGGCTGCTCAGTGAGTTAGACGCTTGCTCGCTAACCTGAAGGTCCAGGATTCAATCCTGGCATAGGTCGTGATAATACCTTCCAATATTTCAACCCGGTTTCCCCCTGTCAGTGATGCTAAGAGAGGCTGACGTGAAAAAAGTGTCTAGTCGTTCAGATGAGACAATAAACCGAGTGTGCTACAGTCTGTGCACGTTAAAGATCCTTCAGCAGTTGGAAATTGAAAAAGAGCAGGCTAATGTCCTGGCAAATTTCCTTCATTGCACCCTGCATGGCGTTGCCCGTCTTCATTAGCCCACAGAAAAAATAGGGTGTAAAACTCCATTCATTTCATTTATACATAACCTTCAGTTACATATCATATCTGGTACGTAAAGTTGATACATATCAGTGATGTTTATGTGATTATAGATGAGATAAATTGTTTCCTCATCCTGTTTGCCATCAGATCAGTAATAGAAAAATGTCTTCTTTATTTTAGAGATATTTGTTTTATTCATGACTTTTAGATCTCCATCAATTTATAAAGTGGTTTCATTTTCATGTTGAAAAAAAAATGTGCCTTGTGTTTTTTTTGCCCATCATTTACATTCTTTATTCAGTTTTCTAGTGTTAGGGTATATAGAATTATGACCGATCACTTGTTGAATTTTGAATAAATAATGAAAAGATAGTAGGTTGAACTAAGATATGTAGATGGTGCTTTTCTACTTGACCTAATAAATTTTATCCTGTATTTATTCAAGGAACAAGGCTTACACTAGTATTGACATAGTCTAGTCACATTATATCATCTAGAAAGATAATTAATACTTATATCATATAGACAATATTAGCTATGTGCACTCTCCAAAGGGGATATCCAGTTGACAACCCCAGTTGCAGAGTTGCATCAGGATAAAGGATAAACATGCCCTGCTCCCTTTACTGACACTTGCCACCAAACCCATTTTAGTGGATATAGTTGCATTCTTTAGACTTAGAATTAAACCAACATATCTGAACCCTAATCTACAAGTCAAAGTTTGCAAAATAAAACAAGTAGAAAATGAGTTGAAGATGTAAGGTATTAATGCACCAGTACATACACTACAAATTTATTTTTTTTAATTTATTTGCAGGGAATGAGGCATTTTGATGCTATAATTGAGTTTGAGTACATATTTATAGATTGAGAAAGCACTTTATTTCAATCCGAATTGCGCAAGTTTTCGTTGATTGTAATCAATCTGGAATTAAGTTTTTGTAATTGTTATATTTTTCAGGTACAAATGGAGCAGGGACACCAGATGTTAGTAAAAACAGTACAACAGAAGATGATTTTAAACGAGGTTTCAATAGGCGTGGTGCCATTAAACAACAGAAAGTTCATGAGGTCAAAGGTCATCAATTTATTGCCAAGTTTTTCCGTCAACCTGCATTCTGTTCATTCTGTAGTTTATTTCTATGGTAAGATTATTACTTAGTAACCTTACAAGAAGATTGTGAACCAGTTAGCACCAATTTTCAACATATATACCACCCAAGCTTGTCGTTGAGGTGGGGTCCGTGGGGGAAGGGCCCGAGCAAGCGAGAATTAAGCCTCAGCAAAACCTTCTTCAATTCAGATTGATTTACTGTGTATTTGTACTAAATCAAATAGACATATATATTTTGATACTTTTCAAAATTATCAGAAATGAGTTCTCTGGGCCTTTAATTCTTCAAATTTTCTGAGTACAAAATCTGAGTCCCAGCACCAATTCATTCCTGGTGACGGGGCTGATACCAGCAACATTACTATTTTTGAATTCAGTTGATTTCTCTCTTGTTGTCAGATATATCTCAATGAAATATATCATCATGTTACTTTGAAAAACAGAATGAAAATTTGTTAACTAAAAATCCGAAAGCCAGTTAGAAGAACTCACAGAGAGATTTCACCGTATGATGAATACTAATTACTATATAACATTGGTTCCCAATCACAGCCGTGCAGATCTGGAAACCAGATTAATTTTACGTAGTTAATATTCTTACCCCAGTAAAAAGTGTTGGGGTTTAACGCATTGATAAAAGCATCATCACTGTATATATATTATTTTTATTATTTACAGGGGACTAAATAAACAGGGATACCAATGTAAAGGTAAGTTGAAACTTGAAATAAAAATTTTATTGTGGTTGATGCATCATGGTAGACCACTTTTGGTTTTATATATATGCTCTTGTTTGATTTTAACTGTCGATCTTAAACGTGCATCGCCTGTACCACACAGGTCCTCAGTTTATTGTCCCTACCGAATGTAAAGATGCTTTTTCAATGTCAGCCCCTCTTACCTGTATCTCTGACAGGATGAAACTGGGTTGACCCATGTTGGGATTACCAGGCACACGAGCAGTCTTTGTCCAAGACTTTTGTTGCCGATTAGAGTCTTATCTTGAGTTTCTACGAATGGCACGAGCACAAGAGGAGACAAAAAACTCCAGACGGTCGTTTTCCACCTTGTCGATAATCATGTGCAGAACATGCAATTGAAAGGAAAAGGAATCTGATTGGATGATGATGTTCTGTTTTGCAGCGACACAATAATCTTCTCGTGGATAAACAGCACACGCATGATTTTACTCAAGTTTCAAGTCGGATACAAAATTTTCTGACCAAGACCTCTATGTGTACTGGCTTCTTAATTATATGCCAATCTACACGTCAACATATATGAGTCTTGATACCATAACTTTCTCATAATATTGTTAATTCATTTAACCTGCCCTGTTCTGATAGGACAATCAACTGATATCCTGTGTGCGACAAACTGTGCAAGTAAAAGACCTAATGCAGCTGTCCTGACAAAATTTCATTCAGTGCACACTGCATGGTGTTGCCTGTCTTTCGATGCAGAAATGTAGGACGTCAAACTGCATTTGTTTAATTTTTGATTTGAATTGAATAGAAATATTGATGTTTATATATTGATATTATTTTTAGTATGTAATTGTGCTGTACATAAGAAATGTCATGAAAAGATACTGGGTAAATGTCCTGGCAGTGCTAAAGATAGTCGTGAAACTAAGGTAAATATTATATGTCAATCTGTTTTATAACTAACACCCCTTTCTTGTGTAAAATGTAAAATAATTTTGATCATTATTATTAAAGGGACATTGTTTTCAGTTAAGATTATATTTTAATATTTTAATAGAGCTTGTGAGAGCTTGATGAATAATTATTTACAAGATGATCTTCAAGAAGTTTGAACATATATATCTTCAAGAATTCATATTTATGTCATGATTAAAACTTTTTTTTTTTACATAAAATAGCTGTTTTGAATTAATAGATCTACATTTTGGAGGGTGGGGGGTTGATTTTAGTCTTGAATATTTGTAAAAAGTACTAGAAATATACAGAAATCACATTATTCCCTTAAAAATACTTCTTTCAAACGCAGATAATTCTGGACGGACATGAATTTGTAGGTTCAAATTGTTACAGTGAGCTGTGAACACTATTACTGATTAGCTTATCTTAAAAATTCCTGTTTCTGAGACTAAAGTGTGATTGGTCAAACAAATGGCCTAAATGTCCCTTTAAGTAATATTTAAATCATTATATTAAAATTGACGTTCAAACTTTTGTTTATTGCTGGATAAAAACGAAAGTATCATCTTAAAACTTAGATTTTTTAAAAAACTTACTATTATACAAATGATTGTATCCAATTATAAGATTTGAATGTCATATAGAAGCGAGGAGCACATATAACAAAACACAAGACAATATTATGGAATATAACACACTTCTTTAATAAGGTTAGGCACATAAAGTTTCAACACAATATACATGTGTCATCATCAGATGTAATGTATCCAATTAGATGGATGAGTTATTTGAAGAATACATATTAATTGTTGCTAGCTTGTTGTGGTATTTCAATACTGTTGCTAGCTTGTATTTCAATACTGTTGTGTTGTTGTTTCAGATATTATCAGAACGTTTTAATGTTAATATTCCACATCGTTTTAAGATTAATAATTATATGTCACCAACATTCTGTGATCATTGTGGTACTATGTTATATGGTTTATTTAGACAAGGATTAAAATGTGAAGGTTAGTAAGACATCTGAATACTAAAACTCCCCTAAATTTGATGCCATGAAAGAAGATATTGTAATTTCTGATTGTTGATGTGGGGATTATGTTATGTTGTTAAGAAAGTATATTCAGAAAAAACAGCTGATACTTTCACAGAAAAATGAAATTATTTCAGTATTTCAACAGTGTGTATATATATTATTGAAAGATGTAATTTTATGATTTCAGTTTGTAACAGTAATTGTCATAAAAAATGTGAAAAGTTTATGCCAAATTTATGTGGTGTAAATCAGAAGATTTTAGCAGATGCTCTTTCACAAGTTCGTATATCAACTCCAAGAACCAGTGTGAGTATTTAATCTTTTATTGTTGAATCTAAATCTGTTAGAAATGAAATAGATGTTAAGCTTAGTGAACCCATGAGTTTATTACGTATCAGTTTATGTCAGCTTGACTTAGATAAAAGCAGAATATATCTTGATCTCCAAACTCATGATATTGACTTTTTTAGGAGCTCCAAAATTTTTCCTTCACGTATTTTTGTCTGTATAATATTTTTACTCTATTGTTTTATTCTCATTCATGTATGAAGAACAAGTGATAAAACAGCAAGACTTTGCTGATTCGTGTTTTCTATAAAGATCATAGAAGAATTGTCCCATTTCTCATTTCTTTGATTTGTCCAGTAGGCTAATAACTGTTCACTTTACGTACCCTAGTTATATCATTGTAATATTTGACACTTTAAGTGTATGTGTATTGATATTTTAGCAGTCATCTCAGAAAGAAGAAGAGGATGAGGACAGTGATAGTGAGAGTTATCAGCCCATACCTGAAGGTACTGGACCAACAAGACTACCATCAGAAACTACAGTTAAACGATTTACACAGAATGATTTTAATTATCTCAGAGTTCTGGGTAAAGGAAGCTTTGGCAAGGTAAAAATAGAACCTTTTACTCTTGATATCAGTCTGGAGCCACGGTGGCTAATCTAAAGATTAAGGGTTCAAAATGATACTTTCCGGTTTGACCCTGTCAGTAATGCAGGTTGATGGGACTGATACTATCTAGTCATCGGATAACAGAACAAGGCCCTACGTGCTTCAAAAACCCCTCCACAAGGGGTAAGCCAATGCTGCTGTCCTTGCAAAATGTCATTCATTGCACACTGCATGGTGTTACACTGTAGTAGGACGTAAAACTGCAATCAGTCAGTTCCTCATAATGTTATTAAATATTCTATAAAACTAATTGTATGTATATTTGTTGATGTAGGTATTATTAGCTGAATTGAAAGGAAGTAATCAATATTTTGCTATTAAAGCATTAAAAAAAGAGATTGTATTAGAAGATGATGATGTTGAATGTACTCTGATAGAGAGAAGAATTTTAGCTCTTGGTTGTAAACATCCCTTCTTAACACATCTACACAGTACATTTCAATCACCTGTAAGTACTCAGTATTTTCTTCAATTCAGAGAGAGATTTCAGATGATTTTGAAATATCAATTAGTTAAAATAGGCATTTAGAAATAACAAAAGAAGAAGAAAATGTCTAAAACTAGCAAGGAAAATATGTGTATTTATTGCATATTATTTATTTTTTGGGCAAAATCTATCACCATGATTACTAAAAGATAACATTATTTTTATAGACACATTTGTTTTTTGTTATGGAATATTTGAATGGAGGTGATCTTATGTTTCACATACAGTTAACTGGTAAATTTGATTATGAAAGAGCCCAGTAAGTTTTGTTTTGTGCTTTTTACATTTTTTTTATGTTTGTGAAAACTGTTTTTATGTGATCCTGCCGTCTGTGTTAACTCTTGTCTATTTTTAGTTCTGTATGGTGATTAGAGTTGTGAGAATAAAATTCAAATAAAAAGCACACGTCTTATTTGTGTAGCTAATAGGACAGCAACAATTTACCAATGAATTCATATTGAAAAACTGTGATTTTAAATGTTTTATTTATACTCATAATTAATGTTGTTATTTTCTAGATTCTATGGTGCAGAAATTGTATGTGGTCTACAGTTTCTACATAGAAATGGAGTAATATACCGAGATTTAAAATTAGACAATGTATTACTTGATAAATCAGGACATATTAAAATAGCAGATTTTGGAATGTGTAAAGAAAATATATTCGAGGATAAGAAAGCATCAACATTCTGTGGTACACCTGATTATATTGCTCCTGAGGTACGCTCACAATTTCTTCTTTTCTATTTTGGAAAGAGATTTCCTGGTCTCTGTACGTGTACTGGATATATTTCTCCAGCCCGGTTACCCATCTGTCAGTGATGCAGGTTCAGGGCAGACGTATATTAAAGGTGTTGTTTTGGAAAATGTACTGACTGTGTATCCCTAGACAGTTGGGAATCATAAAAGGGAAGACTAATGCCGCTGTCCTGACAAAACTATCCCTCATTGCACACTGCATGGTGTTGTCCATCTTCATGAACCCAATAAGGTGCAGTAAAGTAGCATGTAAAACTTCATACTAACTTTCCTTGTCTAATCTTTGTTGTTTCAATGAATCCATTAAAAACATCTCATCTAGAGAGTTTTACGTATATCTTAATTATTTTTAGATTTTGAGTGGACACAAATATAATGCATCGGTAGATTACTGGTCATTTGGTGTATTATTATATGAGATGTTGATTGGTCAATCTCCTTTCCATGGTGATGATGAAGATGATTTATTTAAATCAATTTTACATGATACCCCGCGCTATCCTCATTCATTACCAAAAGAAGCGGCCATTTTACTCAGTCTGGTAGGTATTCATGCTGGAAATATAAGCTATACATAGTGCATTCGTTTCAAAACAACTTAAATATCAACCACTCTTCTATCGCCTCAACTTGCGCCTAATTTGGAGTTGACTCAAAACCTAGCCTCAATAGTTATGTCAGCTTAGTTAGGAAGTCTGCAGGCGAATGTCTAACATTAAGCCAGTCCTTGCGTACACAATCTTTTAAACCAATTCCAGCTCATCTTTTCATCTCAAAAAACTTCATTTAAATTTATATTTCAGTTATTTGAAAGAAATCCATTAATAAGAATGGGTATGCCTGGTTGTGGTAATGGACCTGTAAGATCCCAGCCATTCTTCCGTAATATAGATTGGGAGAAATTAGAAAACAGAGAAATAACGCCACCATTTCTACCAAAGATCGTAAGTTTTATAATGTTTTTAATGATATCCCAGTAGTACTAAATAAGATACATATGAAGATATATTCACACAAGTCAGTTATGCACATTAGTGCTGACATGATATTTTGGTGAATGGAGGTTTCGTGATATGACATGACACAATATGCTATTGTATCGCATGTATCGTGTATTTATACTTGGTTTTTGGAATTTGATGAATGGAATCATAAGTTTTCCTCATTGACTTGACTGAAATTTTTGGAAACTATTTATAAGACAGTGGACGTTATCCACGCCCATCAACTACATTACCAAATATCACAGTTATAATGTTATAAATTAATATATATAGAAACTATTTATAAGAAAGTGGACATTAACCACTTCTATCAACTATATTACCAAATATCACAGTTATAATGTTATAAATTAATATATATAGAAACTATTTATAGGACAGTGGACGTTATCCACGCCCATCAATTACATTACATTACACAGTTATAAAGTTATAAATTAATATATATAGAAACTATTTATAAGACAGTGGACATTAACCACTTCTATCAACTATATTACCAAATATCACAGTTATAAAGTTATAAATTAATATATATAGAAACTATTTATAAGACAGTGGACATTAACCACTTCTATCAACTATATTACTAAATATCACAGTTATAAAGTTATAAATTAATATATATAGAAACTATTTAAAAGAAAGTGGACATTAACCACTTCTATCAACTATATTACTAAATATCACAGTTATAAAGTTATAAATTAATATATATAGAAACTATTTATAAGACAGTGGACGTTATCCACGCCTATCAACTACATTACACAGTTATAAATTAATGAATATTGAAACTTTGAAGATAAAGTGTTAATTTGTTAATTCCGATTTCCTCATATCACCCGTATCTTTCTTTTGTTATTTCAGAAATCTGCTAGTGATAGTTCAAACTTTGATAAAGACTTTACCATGGAGAAACCTCAATTTACACCTACCCAGAAAGAATTACTGAAAACCATGAATCAAGCTGTATTTAAAAACTTTTCATTTACCAGCAATGCTGCTTTAAATTCCTGAAAATCCTACATATTTTGTTAGTTTTAGTCAAATCATAACTCTAAAGTGTAATTTTAAGAAATAGTTTATAGATATAGGGTAAGAGAGATAGACGGTAGGAAAACAGTGGCAGAGTCAAAGAGGGGGCAGCCGTTCCCCCTTGCAGCCCCGAGCAAAAATCTTATAACTAGGTTAGAGATTCTGGCAATCTCAGATATCTCGCCAATCCGACATAAACTTGACTCCGCCCCTGTAAGAAACATGGACTGTAAATGGCATTTCATTCAAAGAGAATGAAGGAAATCCACTATGAGAATTTTAATTACTGTCTGTGTAGGTGCCAGTCAGGGTACAGTGGAGACATTTCCCCGCTACTAGAAAATTTGTTCATTTTTTGATAATTTTTATATGTTTTTTGCCAACTAGAATGCACCAAAATCAATTTTTATTTTTCAAAAATTTTCTTGGGAAAGAATCCTCTCAGATGCTTCATGGGAGGCTTGCACATTATAAGCTCCCCTAGAGTTGCTGTATATTTAACCTAAACCAAGACAATTGTCCCACCATTAAGTTAATCTACCACCGATTAGTACCACCAGACTCAAGAGACTAGCGCTGCCACTGATTTCTTTGTTGTCAGGTCACACATTGGGTAATATATTATCATCAGATATATTGAGAAATAGACCCTCATTCAGGCTGAATTATATTCTAGAATTTAGTTATCATATTTAATATTTTTATAATGTTTTGAAATTGTTTTGTTTTGTGAAATATTGACTTGAGGGTAAAACATTATTTATTGATGATATTTGACAGTTCTGAGGAGCATAATTATGTACAATTCCACACTGTTGTTTTAAAAAAAATGGCAGTCTCCATGAATGTAATAATGTTAAAGAAAAGTGATTAACAAGAATAGAAATACATACAATTGATATACTTATTCTTCAATAACTTCAGTTATATTAATATATATGAACAAAACAATCAAAAAACAACAAATCATCTATCTTCAATAAGTGGCTTGAAAATAACAGTTTCTTTTTGCAGATTTTATCTATTATAATATGTACATTTTTTCAATTTTATAATATTTATATCATTTATTTGTAAATAGAGATTCTATATGATAAAAAATTCCATTTGTAAATAGAATGTGTAAATTAAGGTATTTATTGGTAGATTAGTGTAGAGTTTTCTTTTTATCCTACTTACAATGTACTTTCCTGCTTACAGTGTACTTTCCTGCTTACAATGTACTTTCCTGCTTACAATGTGCTTTCCTACTTACAATGTACTTTCCTTCTTACAATGTACTTTCTTGCTTACAATGTACTTTCCTCTTTGCAATGTACTTTCCTTTACAATGTACTTTCCTATTTTAAAAGTACTATCTGTGATGCAATGTACTTTCTTATTTACTATTTAACTATCCTCGCAATGTACTTTCCTCCTTACAGTGTACTTTCCTCCTTACAGTGTACTTTCCTCCTTACAATGTACTTTCCTCCTTACAATGTACTTTCGTTAATTACTTTTAGTTACAGTTTAGTTACAGTACATCTATCCACTTACAATGTACTTTCCTCCTTACAATGTACTTTTGTTAATTACTTTTAGTTACAGTACATCTATCCACTTACAATTAACTTTCCCACTTACAATGAACTTTCCCACTTACAACACTAATGATATGACAATATTTGTCTGGCATAGTCAACAAGATTTTAGTCAAGGTTTAGTAGGTATTATCATTAGATATATATGTAGCAATTTGTACTTTTTACTATTTTTATCAATTCTTTATTTAATTAGCCTCTATGCAGTTAATATTTTTTATACTTTGTTATTGTTTGTGAGAGTCTAAAACATATTGAAATAGGTATAGGTAATGTAGCACAAGATATATGGATATACTCTTCATTACTCTGCTCTACGAAACAAATCATTATAAATTCCTAACGTTTTTCTGTAAGGTCTACTAATGAAGATATATAAAAATACAGAATAAATTGTACTGTGGTATATCTAGAAATACCAACTTTAAAGTGCTTAGTTCCTGTAATTTATTTTTCCCCTCCATCTCACTCTCATATCCCAATATCCATTATTTTTCTTATATGTGAAATTGTTAAAGTTTATTAATTATTGTTGTATTTCTAAATTTCTATTTGAATAAATCTTCAATATTCAGAATTTTCTGTTATACAAGAAAGATGGCTATTGTAGTCAAGATATCAGATGATGCGTAGGTTTGTATCATTAGACCAATCAGGGGTAGAAAGAGTAGGACGTAAAATCCAGTTCATTTCCAGACAGGACCATAGGTTTAATCTTATGACCTTATACTAAGGGGTCTTATGAGCTCAACAGATCTCAATTCCCCAGTGTAGATATCTGTTAAATTTCTACAGATAGTTTCGACAAGCAGTTAAATAATACTAGTGAGAATTATTATAACTTTATTCCAACAATGACATCATAATATAAATAATAATAATTATATATTGATCAGATTATATAAAGAGGTTTTCTAAATTTGTTATGTGTATCGGGGACACTGATAGCTTCAATTTGCATCATTCCAATTTTCTATCAGACATCTGTGTCTATTCCACTTAAAGTAAGCTTTTTATGGCATCACTAATTGTACAAGCCGTTATTCATATATAAAGTCCTTTGCATTAAGCGACGACATAAAAAACATAGTTTGAGTGGAGATGCATGAACCACAGAAGTCTGATTGAAAATTGGAATGGTGTAAATTGATGCTATCAGTGTCCCTGATACACATAGAATTCTTAATAAATGTTTTACAACCCCTTAAAGACATGAAAGGCTCTTATTATAGTTAAAATAAGTCAATTTCATTGGATTCTAAGTTTCCAGTAAATGGCCATCTCAGTGAACATTCAAGACAACAATTAACATAAATATAACATTCAATCAAACTTGTATTTGATATATTTTGTTATTTACGTGTACACGAGTTGGAAGCTCCATGTTACAAGAAGATATTAAAATTTAAACTAATATATAGTGAATAACTCTTTAACTCCAATATGAGAGTTGAGAACTGTCTGCACGGATCATAACAGTTATATTAACCACATCTTTACCACAGGCCACAACAAATAAAACAAAAGTGTAATAAACAAAGTATTTAACCCTTTCAGCCCTTGCGGTCAGTTTAAAGGGACAATCATACTTTAGTCTCAGAAACAGGAATTTTTTACTTAGTCAATCAATTATAGTGTTCACAGCTCACCATTTTGAACCTTCAATACTGTTTTAATCACTGAGGTTGTAATAAGGGCTATATTTGGATCGAACAATTTGATACGCAATTACCACACTAAATTTCATTTTTTTCTAATCAATTTATTCAATTTTTCAAATCATAAATTGGGTAGCAATTAAAAATTTTCAGTTGTAGACTTCATTTGAAATCCTGGCAAAGGAGTTTACAGTTATAGATACATGTATATCCAAGATTTGCCCTTTTTATTTAGATTTTGCCTAAAATTTAAGAAAAATATACAATTTGATTTGATTCACAGACTGCATGATAAATCTCAATTTTGGCAATCTTAGGAAATACTGACTCACAAACTACAAAGTGATATGAACTAAATTGAACCCTGGTTATAAAAATATTCGACTGAGCTGTTAATATATATTAGATATTCTATAATTCTTCTTTATTACTAAAATCTTCTTCATCACTTAAATCCCATACCTGATTATATACAAAATACAATTATAAATGTTAGATTACATTGCATAAATAACCAATGTCTATTTGTAATATGATAATATCGTCTGCTAGTGATGTGATTGTGGTCTGAAAGGAAGTATGTAAGAGTTATGTATGAGATGACGCGAGAAATGGCGAGAAATGGCGAGAGCGAATGAAAGGTTATGAGATTTTCGGTGTTTATAATACAATTATGTTTATTAGTGCAATAAAAGTGTAAAAGACATTGTGTATTATCAGTTTAACATGGTAGCAGAGCTTGGTTCCGATCCATGGACCTCTGGGTTATGGGCCCAGCACACCTGCTATTTTAAATATTTGGCTTTCAAATGACACAAACTTTATACACAATTTGTGTCAACAAAAGTATTTTCTATTACTTGAGAAAAGAGTGTAACTAGCAAATTAGTAATTATAAAAGTAAAATATAAAATCACCTCTACATCAAATGTTCCCTCATGCATTGCTGTTAACCCTGTTAAATTCTCCAAATATGAAGGTTCATTAAACACTTTCACAAGAAATTCAAATCCTTCCTTTTTATAGGTTTCCATTACCTGTATAATACAAGAAAAAAAAAAAAAAAATATATCTGTAAGTGCACAAATTGTTTAATTCAAAATGTGCATCATGAAACAAAAAAAATTAATACATTAGTTGATCATATTTTAACTTTTAAATTTACTTTTTCAGTGCAGAAATATTTTGGAACATGGCAATTATGATAGTTGGCTGATAATAAATATCTATGATACTAAAATATACGTAGAACAAAAAGTTTAGCGCCATTAACTTTAATTCAGTATATTCTGGGACGTCGTAGAGACCCTGCTGTACAAACTGTAACAGAGTTGGATGCAGCATTGCATCATGAGTGGCAGCAAATTCCTCAACATGACATACAAAGACTGATGAAAACAGATACTTTGCATTTGGGGCAAAGACAATATAATGTACGATCATCCACTTCCTGTTCTAATAGGTTCTAATATATATATATACATCTCTGTTATCAAGTATGATTGTGAATTGCATTCATTTGCTAAACAATGGTTCAAAATCTGGTGGCGCATAACTTTTTGTTCTAGGTGTATATGTACCATAAACTAACAAAATACTAGTATTGAATTACTAAAATACAATTCCAATACGTAAATTAATGGCAAATCATTCCATTAATATACTTACTATTTGAGAACATGCAGTACATTTATCAAAAGCATGACTTGCTGGAAGAACACTGGAGAATCTAGACAAAAAACCACGAATCTGAAAAAAATTAAACCTTAATGACACAAACAGTAGAAAGAATTATGTGATACATGTATATTAACAATTAGCAATATTAGAAATTAGCTTTGTTTGAGGTTTGTGTGCTCTTAGTAGTAAGTACATGTGACTCTGGCAATGGCAGTCTATGACATATCAGTTTTTATCAAGTTGTTATCTAATACCAGGATATAAGATTTGAATGACATATAGAAGCAAGGACCACATATAACAAAACACAAGACAATATTATGGAATATAAAACACTTCT